TCACTAATATTTCGAAGTTTCCCAATTTTTTGAGCCTCCAAAACATTTTTAAAATCTCTAACAAGTGCTTTTGCTCTTGAAGACGAAAAAACTTTTTCAAAAGAATCAGTATTATTTCCAAGCTTTTTCATAAACTCACCACACTTTCTATTAATACCTATTATATAAAGCCATTCATTTTTAAAGTCTTTTGCATATTCTGGGATTTTTGATTGTTTTTGAGTTGTCCCAGAAATAAAAGAAGGCTGGTGTAGACTACCCATTTCCATAACTACTTCGAGGAGACGTCTGAAATATCAGGCTGACTGTAAACAGTATAGAAACTACTACGAATGTGAGTATTGTCAACTAAAATCGAAAGACAGGAGCCCCTTAGCTATTCTTAAGTTCACAGAGCCTAGTCTGTAAGTAATTCATGTGAACCTCAAGAAAGCAAAGCACCTCAAGTAAGAACATGTCAGTTATATATAACTATTTATTGGCTTGACATGAGTTACTTAATTACCGACTTGGCTTATTTAAAGGTAGGTAGGTACTTTATTAAATACATTGCAGTATAAGCTGAATTGCGTATTTACATAATGGTAATAATTGTAAAAATGAGTAATAATTGTAATAGCTAAGACTAAAAACGTATAATAAGAAACCTAAAAATTATTTACAATTCTTCCTAAGGCCATAAAAAACTGTTCTTAAATCTATTTGTCTTGCAACGCGGCAAAGTGAAAGAGCGCGCGTGCCTTAGATTATAGTTGCTCTTATAAAGAGGCGGCAACAACTTTCTTAACTTGTGGTTCGGGTCGCTCATTATGCTTTCAAACGTGCGCGTGCAAATATTGTGGTGATGCTCCGCAACCGTTGGTAAACTCATAAGCGCTAAAGCTTGCTGATATTCTATACCAGGACATATGATTCGCATTGCTCTTTTCTGAACGCGTTCTAATTCTTACGAAAGGTAGGCTGGAAGCACGGTATAGAAAACTGGCGCAGCATAGTCAATGACGGAGCGCACGCATGTAATGTAAAAAAGGCATAAATCTTTCTGTGGAACACGAGCTCTTTTTAGCTGAACAAGAAAATAGAGCCTCTTTTCTGCCTTCATAGTAACTTCCGTGATGTGCGCATTCCATGTTAAGTCACCAGAGATAGTAACACCTAAAAGTTTAGCATCTTTAACTAATCTGATGCACTCCTCTCCTATGCTACTGGAGGAAAGTCACAATCTGATGTAAAACTAATGCGGAGCTCCTTGCATTTGCCAGTGTTTAACTTGACTCTGTTTCTGGTTGACCAATTTACTACCTCATTTACAATACCTTGAGCCTCGCTATGCTGTCCTTTCTTCATTACCTCTGATGTTGTGGTATCGTCTACATATTTCCAAATAGAAGCATTACTGACAGTTAAATCATTTATCATGATAAAAAAAGCCAAGGGCCTAGTTTGGTCCCTTGCGGAACGCCCGAAGGTACTGTGCTCCATTCGGATACATAACCTTCAGAGAGTTTGATTCTCTGTGAGCGAGCTGATAGGAAATCTATTATCCAATTTATGACGCTAGGTACGATGTCAAGCGCGCATAATTTCCTTACTAAGATACTACGGTCAATTTGATCAAATGCTTTCTTGTAATCAAACAGGAGTGCCTTGATAGTCGAACCGTTTCCATCAGTCCCTTGAGACCACTAGTGGAGCATCTCCAACGGGGCAAAAGTTGTCGAAGACTTCGGTATCGCATTAAACTGGCTTGGGTCCAGAGAGCGCAGTACAGCTGGCTTTACGTGCTCTGTGACGCCAGAGTCCTCTGCGACCTTAGAGATACTCGGTGTTAACGATATAGGACTCAGATCTTTCTTGATCTCCTTAACAGGCTTGGTTTTGGGTAAAGGAGTGACGTCTGCCAATTTCCAGGGTCTCGGTGGCTACTGTTCCTTGAAAGAGGCATTTAGAATGATTGAGACAGGATAGGCGAGAAATTCCGCATACTCCCTTACTATCCAATTAGGAATACCGTCCGGACCGCCTGTCATACTCCGCAACCACTAGATGCTTTGGAGACTGATCTTCTAGAGGGAGCTTGGGAATCTCGTTAGACAGGCGGTTCTCTTCAAGAGGCTCTAACAAGGCGTGGTTGATAAGGTCAGCAATCTCGCGCATGGACGACCCCTCCAACTCATCGATGTCAAGGAAAGAGATCAGGTTGCTCGAGGAGGATTGCCGCGCTCCGATGAGTCTCTTTACTTCCTTCCACAGGACTAAGGGTCGCTCTCCTTCATTTGATCGATCTTTGTTTCATACAACGTTGCTTTGCAGCATTTGCGCATTTGACATGACATACTGCACCGACATTTCAGACCATCGCAGAGCCGTAAATGGTTAACCGCCAAATGATTAATTCATGGCAAACAATTACAAGAGGTACCTGTGCGAGTAAAGCTTGAAAACCCCTCTCCTCGCGAGCCATTTTAATATATTTTGAATTTAGAAGCAAGCCTTCACTCACCACTGTCATTTGCATGGACCCTCACTCGCCCAACAAATTATTTGCAACAAAATATTGTTTTCTCATACTCGGAGATGATAGCAGTTTCTTTTTCTTAATCATTTCTTTATTTTTCGTTTTTTTCTTTGTTATTTTTTGTTATTTTGTTATTATTAATTTTTACAAAAACTGTGTTATTATTGTCATTTTATTAAATTAATTTTTTTTCATTAAAATTATTTCTATTTTTTCATGGCCGGGATGTTCCGGAATGTTCCGGAATGTTCCGCGTTCCGGGTTTTATCGACGCCCCTAAAGTACTCTGCTTGCAGAATTTGATATGCCTAAAACTGGGCCTGATCTCAGGTTTTTATCGTCGTCATTTTACTAAGAGGTTTAGCGAGGACGTCCTGGTAGTGGAAACAAGTTATCAAATGTTAGAAGTTTTAGCATTTTGCGATCGGGAGAGGGCTTAACCTCCTCCAAAAAAGATAACAGTGCTAACTCTTCTGGCAAATAAAATTGCAATTAAGAATTCTGGGTTTTCTATTTTTTTTTTATAATAAGCGAATATACTTTAAATCAAATCTCGTACTCGTAGTTGTTCTCCTCCTCGAATCTAAAGTTTTCTTTTTTTTTTCTTTTTTTTTTTTTTAGTTTTCTAATACCAATTTTGTTCGATTTATTTTAGTGAGGCCGGGCAATGGCTACTCAACTGACAAGAATTTTTTTAAATGATCTTAGTCCTTTTTTAGCCTAGTTTGCCGGCTAGAGGCCGATTGAGGCTTTTGCGTGAGAAAATTGATAAACCTGTATGCTTTAAAACAGAGTGCTTGTGGGACGGGTGGATCGCCTTGTGGTGACAAAGGAGTCTGCATCCCCATCTATCAAAATAACAGCGTACGATGCCATTGCGATGACGGCTATGCTGGAATACCTTGCAGTAAGTAAAAATATGTTCTCTTAATACTGGCAAGAGGGGTAGTTATGATACATGGGTTATCCCATGGGAACGAAACAAATCTCTTGAAACTCTTGACAGTTTTTAGACACTTTATTCCGCTGTTTATTATCTTACTGAGCATATGTTGATTTTTGAGCCAGCTCTATATAAATTATCGTATTGCTGTGTGGGGCCATGCTCAAACATATCTGAAAACGCTCTCACTACACTATGCTCCATATAGATCGAGCGGCCCGGTTATCCAAATTTTTTGATATTCTCCTACTGATGAAGTATAAATACTGAATAATGCAAGTGTGTGTCATCATGCATGACGTCTTCAATAACTTCATAACTCTTTACCTTGTTAATATTTCTACTAGCCTCTTACTTGATATTGACAGGTATGTGCCCTTGAACAGGGTATGGTTTTCAGGGTCTTGAGCCTTGAACGGAGTATACAATTTTACTATTTAGCGTCTTGAACAGGGTGCCCTTGAGTGTGAGTGTTGGTGATGAGTTGCCTACATTTCGGTACTAAGAATCTTTTTCCAAAAAGTCTAATTCCATGATGTTGGTCTGGAAAAAAAGAATTAGTTCTGTAAGCAAGACGAAAATAATCAGGGCCTGTGGTCATCTGTCTGGTAAAGTCTGGTACTCTTTGAAAAAGGCCGCAAATGGAGCGGTTTTGTTTCTGTGGGATACCGCATGCACCATGGTACACAGTAGGAGGAAAACAAGAAAGTAAGAAAAAGAAAAGGAAAAAAAGCACAACAAGACTAGAAAATATAGAAGAAGATACAATGTAAGTTATCACAGTAAAAGATTATAAAATTTATGTATCTTGTCTTAAACAGGATAGCGAAATGAACAATTTTTGTCTTAATTGGTCTGGGTTTGAAGGCCTCGGCGGCACATCTCCACCAACATTTCTTTTGAATGTCCCCCCCCCCCCGGGGGGAGCGGAACAGTATTCCCCAAAGTATTCGACTGTATATTACACGACCTTCTTTTACTTATTTTGAAATCAAGGCATACTTATGTTGACACGTCCACTTTAATACATAAGTAAAGAAAGCTTTCATAAAACTAACTTTAGTAATCTTTTATAATAACAGGAGCCGATTAAGTAATCGGCTCCTGATAATAATCATAATAATGAAAATAATAATAATAATCTTTCATTGTCATAACTTACATTGTATCTTCTATATTTTCTAGTCGTGTTGTGTTTTTTTCCTTTTTTTTCTTACTTTCTTGTTTCCTACTAATGTGTAACTTACGATTTTGTCTGCCCACCTCGATTAGCTTGTTACAAGCTAAAAGGATATTTGAAATTCGTAATTATGTAATTATGAATGATTAATTAATTAATTAGTAATTATGAATGAACAATAAGAGAATAAAAAGTGAAAGCAGTGGTAGGTTCAGTAATTTAAAGGTTTTATATTTTGTTTTAATAGAACCAAAGAGCTGTATTCAGCTCCTGCAAGATGGTTTTAATTCTGATGGACTGTACACCATCAATCCAGATGGCGGCAAACCAATTCAAGTGCTGTGCGATATGACCACAGGCGGCGGAGGATGGACGGTTTTTCAAAGACGCTTTGACGGTTCTGTCGATTTTTTTCTGGTCTGGGAACAGTACAAACACGGATTTGGAGACCTGAATGGGGAGTTCTGGTTTGGAAATGACAACCTGTACCGTTTGACAGCCGCTTATGATGTGAAGTTGAGAGTTGATTTGCAGGACTTTGAAGACAACAAATTTTACGCTGAGTACGGGACTTTTAAGGTGTCTGATGAAGCAGATAGATATCGGCTTCTGATTGGTGGATACAATGGTAGTGCTGGTGACTCAATGGCGTCCAGCGGAGAAACAACAAAGTAAGAATATAGAAAACCTTTTTTGATGGTTTATCAGTACTGTACTGAACAAAACCACACTGAAAAGCATGCCTTAAGAATACAATCTAAGGCACAAATTTAGTTACCGGCCGAAATTAAACTCGGATCGAGTGAAAAACTTCTACTTTAATTGCCTCATTTTAAAACATGACCTAGCTTTGTAATTTGAGTGGCAAACTGAACGCGTTGCAGGCGTTAAACTAAGATTGCATAGGATCTAAAGAGCCCGGGATAAAAATCCCGCCTTCTGCAAGCGTGTTACTCCGTTTCTAGAATATCGAGCACGTATCTTCCAACACGCACTCTCCCTATAACTTAGCGACGACCTGGAGCGCTTGCAGAAGCCAGCAATCTCTATCTTTTCTCCAGGATTGCCATATTTGCAAAATTTGTAATTACATCACATTAACAGCCTTAAGGGCAGACGTGGTGGACTGTATTCGAAGCTATTTGAGTCTGTCCTGTCTAAACCTGTTCATTAATCATGTCATTTGCTGCCACCCCAGCGTGTTTCCTGCTATAGGGGCCACGCCTTTTTAGTGAACGCCTGCTACGTTCACAGACCGCATTCATAACACCTTAATCCGAGTAACGTGACGTATTGTTATAGCTTGCGTCAGTAATATTTTGATAGGTTTTAGTTTATAGCGCCATAGTTGATACACAGTCATTCATATCTTGTTACGTTTATCACTATCATTTTTATATACAGTTTAATACAATATCAATACATATCAAAATGGGTTTAACTATTATTCGCATCGTTGACTTATTAATTTAGTGCTACATACTTTCTCACACAGCAATCGGCAGTTTACCACACAAGATCAAGACAACGATCACGCCGGTAGCGTCAACTGTGCTATCACATATAAAGGAGCTTGGTGGTACGATTCATGTCACTGGTCCAATCTCAACGGGCTGTATCATGGTGGACAACATGAGTCATATGCTGATGGGATGGAGTGGTTTACTTTGAAGGGCCATTATTACTCTTTTAAACGCACTGAGTTGAAAATAAGACCCAACATTTGGTGAGTTCAGGATTTCAATCCGACTGAATCAAGTTGTTGTAGAAAAGTGATAGAATGCAGTGACAATGTTGATACATGCGGCGCGTATTGTCCCAACATGACTCTGACATAAGTTTGTTGACAGCATGGTCTTTTTTCTTGATATATCAGGGGCGCCCAACGTCAATTTTCGGAAAATATCTGTTCGGAAGACGATTTGAGATCTAGAATTTTCGGAACATTTGTTGTAAAATTTCTTGCTTGCCTGCCTCTCCTAGGATATTCGAAAATCTAAAAAATGGTATAATTGCCCATTTTTAACGGATTTCTACCCTAAAAAGGTAACCTAGAATTTTCAGGAGCCTTTTTTTTCTGGCTGAAATTTTCGAAAAGGTAAGTTTTGATCCCTACAATTTTCGGATCACTAGACTTTCAGCTAGGAAATCCGAACTGATGAAAAATTTTTAGGGGATAAAAATATGCCTATATCTACCGTTTAAATACTAAAATACTAAAATACGTTCAACGATGCAATGTTTAAGTGGTTTTGAACTATATTCTAGTTGGGTGCACCTGATATATCAGGAGAAACAACAACCAACAGCCAATAGTTAAGGGCAAAACAAAAACTCAGGCAGTTTCATCACAACAATTTAGAGTTCTTGGCACTGTTTCAAAAATTAGATTGGATTTCTACCGCCGTTTTGTCGTGAGCGATGAGTTAAGGGGTGGGTGGCGATAGTAAAACAGCCGCATTTCCAAAGGGGAGCATTTTCTAATCACAGATCTCTGCTCCACCTTGGAAACTGCA